TAAAATGTTTGAGAGAGTTAACTACAACATTACATAGAAGTTGGAAGATTTGAAAAACACTTTATGTGAATGGATGTGAGGCAGGCTAAAAGAGGGGAATAAACAGTGTTGGTGACTGGGACCTCATCTGTCTTTTCCTAATGGCATTGGCAGAGCTGTTTTCTAATGCCAATCCCCTGCTTAAAACAAAAATATTGATCACATCCCACACATGTAATTGAAATACCTAAGATCTAGGTAAAATGCATGAGCACTGCAAATCTAAACCCTCAATTACCAAAGCACAACTAATAAGAACAGCCCATATTTTTCTTCCATGGCTCAAATGAAAAGAGCCCTAGCACTTTCTCTGCTTGCTCCTGTCCTCTTCCATCCCACATGGCAGGACTATGCCATGCATCTTCACTTACTAAAATAAACTTCATTTGCTACACCTACATGTCCTAGGGGGATTTTTTTCCAGGTGAGATGCTAGAACCTACATGTGTCTGACTTGAGTTTCCAGATATTGCCTTCTCCAGATGCAGCTGTCTGTCCTTCACCAAAACATTCTTTGAATAGGGAAATTACATGAGTAACACTGAGCCTATATAATACTCCCAAGCATATTCATCACTAACCTGCTGACAGCAACAACTGTACATGGTGACTGAGGTTCTGTAGGGTTGCCTGGACTTGGAAAGGTGTTTAATATGAAACTGCAGTGACAACCTGATAGACTCAAAGGACTTGTCATTAGCTATTGCTGTGAAGAATTTTAAAAACTATACCAAAGTATCTGCACATTGCCCTGTGTCACCCAAGAGACTGGCAGAGGGCCATGGAGACAGAAAAGAAATGGCAAAGAAATCAATGTGGATTGTCAGTGGTCCAGATCAGAAAAGAATTCAAAGATAACCTGCATCATCAACACAAGGAAAATTGCGATCATTTCCTTAAAACATTGAAAGCTGGCATTGGCCCTGTTTCTTTTTAAGGATGAAAGTGATGACAGCCATCATTCCCAGCTTTGGGAGGTTACTTCCAGAGAAAGATTTACCCTGGCAAGTAATTTTCATCCACAATCAGCTTATGTAAAGTTTCCTCCACTGTCTTCACTTCAGCAATGACACACTAACCAGACTTTTTCATGTTATTTAGTGTAAACTGATATTTGAATTGTTTACATCACTCGAGACTCAAAATAAATTCAATACCACTTTAAGTCCAGCCTTTACTTTGAACATGGTAAATAAAAATTATTATGGCTGTGATGATTATTGTGATGATAGGCAGATGGGCATGTATCTGATCTTCAACTCAGGTCATGGGAAAGTTCCATGTATCTGGTGTAGGCCCTTCTCAAATGTTCGCTAGTGTGCTGTCTTCCGAAAAGAAGATTATTTAATAACTCCCAGAAGCTTGCTATTTTTCCAAAACAAAGATAAGGTGGATGGGGGAGAGGCTGACCAGAGAACAATGACCACAGGATTGTCACCATCCATCATTTTTAATCAATATACTTTTATTCCCAGATCAATCACTCAAAGTGGCTTTTTATTGGAAACATTGCAAGTATAATTAGGGATTGTTGAACAGCACAACCCAGGATAGAGTCCAAGACATGATGAAAAACACACTCAAGACTGGGTCAAGAATAAGAGTCCAAGAGAAGAGAATTTAGCAGTCATCATGCTTCCTGTTCATGGTCACATCTGTACTGTCCATAACCATATGGGTATACACCATGAGACTGTCAGTGCAGTGTTTTTTTGCATGAGCCTCACCACAGTTCCATGAAAACCACACTGTGTTGTGACATCACAGCAGGTAACTTGCAAGAATTTTTCAGGTCCATTGCAGTTTTATGAGACTATGGCTTTATGTGTGGCTCATCATTGACTTAAATTCTGTGATGTGAGGCATATCCATGATATCTAGATGATCATGATCCAGATATGGGCAAAAATATGTATGATGAAGGCGGTTCTGGTAAGGTCACAAGTGAAAATGAGGAAAGGCTGTTGGGAACTGGAGGACAGGATGTCCTTGGTATAAAGTGACACATGGCATGGCTGAAGTGTTTTCAAGTCCTAGTGCACTGTAGGTGTGAGTTGCTAAGTCAGTGATACACAACATGTGACAGACAGGAGTGAGTGGATGATACTGCTTTCCCTGACTGCTTATATAAAACAAGTAAGAAAAACAGGACAAGCGTGGAATTTTAGCCAAATGGAAGGCAAACTTACAGATATGGAAAATTAGCAGCCTGGACACATAGTAAATGATGGAGAAGGAGAAATAAAAGTGGAAGAGATCACACAGGCTTTGGCTAAGGGAAATGGTGATGAGGAGGTTGGTGTGAACAGGACACGGGCCTGTTCATCAGTAAAGTCAGAGAATGGCTCAAACACTTTCAGAGGCTGCAGCTGCATCACAGAAACAGAGATTATAATTGTGAAGGTAAGACAACATGGCAGAGGGTTAAGAGCACTTGTGTGAATTCACAGTTCATTGCACTGGATCCACTCCAGTTGATCCCATACCACTGACCTCAGTCTCCCTGCTGAAGTTTCACTGTGTCCAGGTACAGTGTGGGCTTTGATAGTTGTCTTTGCAGAGGGCACAACCCAAAAACCTTGATGGTACCCATCTGGTGCTCACTCTGCTTGTGCAGAGAACCCTACAGCTGTAAGTGTAGGGAAGCCTCAATCTAGATTTAAAAGTTTGTCCATATAGTCTCAGAGACAGGCAGAAAGTCTCTGCAGAAGAGGATACAGTACAGAGAGCCTCCACAGGAGAAATGCTTGCATAATTGTGGGGTTAGGACTAATCCAGGGAGTCTCAAAAGGGAAAATATGTAAAGAATATTTGGGGGTGGTAATTCTTCCGAAAAACTAGCCCTGCACAGGCTTCATTATGCAAAATCAGCCAAGAAAAGCTGAGGAAACCCGCTCACATGCATAAGGCCCCTGTGTCATGTGCACACAGCAGACTATAGGTGAGGCTGCTAGGCTTGTGGATCCACTCCCTACAGCAATGTGAATTTAGTCCATGGACATCTACCTTCTTATATGGAATTAGCAGTCCTGTAATGGGAACTGTGAGAGGAAACAAATCTCTTTTTTTTCCTTATGCAATATGAAGACACAGTGAGCCTCTATTCTGCCATGTAAAGATGCAAAAATTATGAAAATTGAAAAGAGGGAGGCAGCACTGACCTACAAGAAATATGTCATTGCCTTGTTCTGGGACTTCTCAGCTGCAGAGACATGAGAGACAAAATTGTTCCATTTGTAGGTCAAAAGGTGTAAGTTACAAAAATCCTCTGAGTCTGTGCACCACGTAACATTCACATGCTTGTTTTCCTAGCACACATGGCCTGCAGTAATCCACAAACAACATATAATGTAACCTACATCTCCCTCATAAGGTGTCTAGGGCCCTCTGCCATAAAGATACTACTTCTGATTCCTGATGTGGAGTGCAAGAATTGAGGGCAGGACAGTGTTGTGGACATCCCAATGCAGAGATCAAACTCTCCATGGTCCATGTCTTCTGTGTGTCCCCTTGTCCTGTGAAGTCAAGTATTTGAGGTGTTAAATGGTTGCTTGGCAGATATCCAGCTCAATATTGTCTGTGCTGTCAGAATAGAAGCTACTTTTGTCAGACCTCTACAAGTTGAATAACAACTTAGTGTGTCATAAACTGAAAGTTAAAAATTATCTCAACACCCATTAGTAGGCCAATTGACAAAAGTTACCTTAAAAATTTCATCTATGGTGAAATTTCTGAGCATAAAATGAACATGGAGGGATTTTCAATAAACATTATATTAAAGCGATAAAAAATTAAAAGTATGTAATTCATGTGATGGTTGTATATATTGTGAAAATGAAGATAAATATAATACAACAGAAAGGCTATAAGCTGTTTGCATATTGGATAGAGGAGGGAAGATTACAGAGGAATTCAAGACACAAATGGAATTGAATATAGTCTCCTTTTTGTGCTGATGGTGAACAAGTGTACATTTTGTCCACATCATCAAATGTGCTATCTATAAATGTGCATTTTATTACATCCTGTGCTAAAACACATTAGGTTTGCTACATAGAGACAACACATGTGATTATACAAAAAGTGACTTTGATAAAAAGTGACATGAGATGCCAGAAACTCACAATGATGCATCTGCCTGAACCCTGGTTCCCTGCTTCCTTTTAGTAAATTAGAATGCAGGAAAGTCACACCTGTGCTCATCACAGAAGGGGATTCTGCACTCCTCACCAGGTGTGCCTCACTCTGACCAAGGTTGCTTTAGGGAGTAGTGAGGATCTTGCAAAATCACAGAGCCATATACATGGGATATCTCACATTTCATGAACTCCTGTAGACACTGCAGAAACATTTATAATTATTTTTATACTTCCACATGTTTTAAAAGAAGATAAATGTAATATTTGAATGACAAGTTTTTTTGTATATGGAAAACATTAAAAAAGATGATGAGTTCATAATGTTTAATGAACACATAATGGAACTCACATTTTCTTTAGTTTGTTTAATGTTTATTAATTGATAAGAGGGCTTTCATTTGTATTTATATACATGCATATAGTGTCTTTGAACATATTCACCTCCTCTCTTACTCTACCTGATCATTCATCCCCTATTTTTAAACAATTTTAACATGTTTTATTACTTTGTCTTCATACATGAGTATAAAGTGTTTTGATTCATTTCACCGCCATTTTCTCTGTCCTTTTCCCATTGCCCCTCCAACTTGTTACCCACTAAGTATATCCTTTTCTTTCATTAATTTACTCATTGTCAGAACCTCTACCAGGACTCTCAGATCTGCTCTTATACTATCCTCTCAGGGATTTCCACCCAGAGTTTCTTATATAGCAGGAGGACACGCAGATAAGGCCTGCCTCTGCTCATCAAAAACAGCCCAGCCCTGACCCTGCAACTCTGGAAGAAGAGCCCAGCACTGGATTCCGAGCTGATCCCATTCAGTGATCAACGCTGAACACAGATCACTTACTATGTATTTGGCGCTTAGCTGGATTTTCCTTGTTGCTATTTTAAAAGGTGATTTGTGGAGAACAAGATGCTGAATATGTGAGTGGACATGAGTCAGAGGAAGAATGGACATATGTGACAGTTTCCTGACCAGGATTCTCTTTGTTTGCAGGTGTGCAGTGTGAGGTGCAGCTTGTGGTGTCTGGGGGAGGATTGGTGAAGCCTGGCGGGTCCCTGAAACTTTCCTGTGCAGCCTGTGGATTCAACTTCAGTGAATACTACATGTACTGGGTCTGCCAGGCTCCAGGGAAGGGGCTGGAGTTGCTCTCATACATTAATGGTGATGGTGGTAGCACAAATTATGCAGACTCCGTGAAGGGCAGATTCACCATCTCCAGAGACAATTCCAAGAACACATTGTATCTGCAAATGAACATCCTGAGAGCTGACGACACTGCCACGTATTACTGTGCAAGAAACACAGTGTGTGAACTTCAGTGTGAGCCCAGACACAAACCTCCCTGCAGGGACGCTCACAACCAGCAGGGGGCGCGCAGGACACACTGAGCTCAGGGTCAGCCATGCGCAGGTGCAGAGGGAGGTTAAGTGATGGTTTCCTGTCAGCGTCTGGGCTTCCTCTCCACAGGACTGTTCCCCAAAGGAGATTCTGGTTTTCTGTTTCTGTGCTTTACACTGATATTCCTAAACTGGAATATATTGTTTTTACATGCAGTCTTTTGGGCTTCATGTAAGGGAAATAAGCCAGACTAAGAAAAATAAGAATTGCATGTTTATTCTCATAAACAAAAGATGACATGGCAGTGGATGTGAGTCTCCCCAAAAAAGTGGGAATGGAATCAGGGAATAGTGATAAAGAAATGCAAATGATGTAATGGGGTCTACATGAGAAAAATAAATTATATTCACATACTAAAACACCACAGTGAAACCATTAGTGTGTATAAATTTTATGCACTGTTATAAACCTTTATTTTTACATAAAGACACAGTCTCATCTGCACAAATTCTAAGGTGTCTTTTATGGGTACAGGAATGACTGCCTTGGTCACCAGTACCAGTTCCCAAGGATACTCATGGAATCCTAGTGAGTCTTCTCACATTGGAAAAGTCACCTCCATGGAATTTCATGATTAGAACAATCTGCGGAATTCACACTGGATCCAGGACAGAGGTAACCCAGGCCCAGGGAAACAAACAGGATTGCATTTAAATCTCAACCTCATCCTCATGAATAAATGGACCCAACACACAGAATTGTTGAGATTGTCTGTTTCAACAAAACTAACTTTTTCCTCGAATTTCTTTCTCACTTCTCTCTGCTGTTCATTGTCTTCCTTAAAATGGAGAATGTAGTCTCTGTTCTCAAAACCAAGATGGATGTCTTTTATCTTGTTAAAGGATGAAGTGAGTTTTTATGGTTTTGGATAAGATGGGACAAGTCACCAGCACAGTCCACAATGCCCTTACCTGAGCCCCTTCTCTCACACAGAAGAACACCTGTCTTAGTGGGCAGTGTGAGTCAACACCACCTCTCCCCCTCGGGTCCCTATGTTACCTGGGCTGTTGACTCTCCTGCTCCACATGCACATTGCATCCCCTGATGCTCAGAGTTTCATTTCTCTACTCATCACTGAAGTCCCTGGATGGAAATGGATTCTAGAATTGCTGAGAACACAGCTCTCAGATTACCATGAAAGAGGCTAAAAGACAAGCAAGGAGATGAAGACCACTGCCATCCCTGCTGAGTCATTTTCAGGGTGGGGTTCTGAAAGCAGCCCTGGGGGTTATGTGCTGAGACCAGTTCTTCAGTTTCTATATGGAGAATCCAAACAGATAATGAGAACCAGATGGATGGAGCTCTGCTTCCTGCCCCCTATCTCCTCTCCTGAACATCACAAAGTCCACCATCTCCTCTCTCAACATCTGAATTCAGAATAAAGTGATCATTAAACCCAGAAGTTCATGGGATCACTGCTCCATTCCTACTATTGTTACCTCATCTCCAGCGACAAAAAGAGAGTCACTGAAAATAAGCTCATCAGTGCACCAAACCCATCATTCCCTAAGTCTCATCACATGTGTCAATTCTTCCATGGACACTATAGAGAGGTGTTTCACACCTGACAGGGTCCTTGATCATGTACACATATGATTCCAGGTCACACAGTCTCCATTGAGCGGAGCCCTGCCTCATGAGAGGCCCAGACAGCTGCAGACCACAGGGCACCTCCCACAGCTCATTCTCCTCAAGTTAGAGGATTTCCAGATGTTTCCAGCTTCAGAGCACAATGCTGGACAAGACCACGTTAGTGTATATGAAGACAGTGGTCAGTGACTGGAATGGGTGGGTGTTTGATTGCTACCTTACATCTGGAGAACTGGAATTTACACTAAACCAGGCAACAAACCCTTAAAATGAACTGGAACCCTAGTGATTCAAGTGTTCTGATCATTTATGTATATAGCATCTTTAGGACTCCCGACCCTATGGAGTCCTTGCAATTTTATTCCTGCAAGGTTGTACTAGTAATTACCCCTGGAACATTGAAATGGCAGAGACTGTTGCCAGGATAGGATAGACAGATCAGTGGGCAGTATATTTGGAGAGTATGGATAGATGAAGCAGCCCTGCCCTGTGGGTAAGATATCTGATGTACCTTTGGGTTGGAGGCCTAAAGAGGGTTGATTCATAGACAGAGAGACAGAGGCAGAGAAAGAGAATGTGGCCAGGAGGAGACAGGGGGAGAAAGAGAGAGAGAGAGAGAGAGAGAGAGAGAGAGAGAGAGAGAGAGAGAAGTAAAGAGAAAGAGAGAGAGGAATAGGCACAGAAAATCCTAATTAGAGACAGAATACATTGATTCATGGTTGTGGGCTTTTCAGGTAACCTAAGACACCATCTTTTTATCATTAAAGTTGTGCTCCAGTGAGGTGAACTGACTTGGAAAAGGTAATACTACAAGTAATGGCTGAGAACATCTAAAACACCCTGCTTGTTTTTGACCTCTCTGTCAGTTGTCATTTCTTCTGTACCCCATATCTCATTGAGCCTTGTTTCCTTTCCAGAAATTACCAGAAATCCAATCCCATTTCAACTTCATCAATTGTAGTCCTGGAAAAATCAAGCGGTATAATGGAGGACAACAATTTTCCACTGGCCAGAAAAGGGCACCCAGTGTCCACATTCTGGTTACTTCAGTTGAAGAGAGTCAGCACTACAGAGGAAGTTCCTAACCAAGGGATCCAATCAGAAACAACTTGCTCATGCCATCACAGTCTGACCAACTGCCCTTGTGAGAGGATTCAATCAGAAGTGAGTTCCTCATGACATCAGAGTCTGTGCAATGGCCCTTGTGAGAGGATCTAATCAGAAGAGAGTTCCTCATAATATCACAGTTAGTACAAGTGCCCTGGAACTTTGAAAAGGCTGAGGAGCAGGTATCTGGCTTGAGGCCCTGGAAGAAGGGACAGCAATGGAGTAGTTACTAGGAAGAATCTAGTCCAGCTGTGTGGGGAAGGCATGTCATGTTGCTTGGTGAGTAGCAAACAGGAGAGTTGAATTCAGGGTCCTGTGTCATCCAGTTGCGTATACATTTACCTGAAGTCAACTCCAGCAAAGTTTGGGATGCTTTAGATACACAACTGATGCTGTAGCTTTGTGTGGAGGACACCAGCATTCAATGTGAGGTCCATATGGAGAAGACCCAAGGCACAGGCCCCAGTACTGAGTGAGCTCCTAGCCAGCAACCAGGCATAGGAGCCATGTCTTTGAAGATCCACAATGATGCACAGTATGCAGGACACTAGGGGGTGTTCACACCTCAAACAGAGAAGGACTCTAAGGAGCAGGTGCAGAAAGGGGACTGCAAAGTGTTTTCTGACTCCATCCAGGGTTTCCTCTTTTCACATTATCACATCCAACTCTGGATACAATCCCCCACATATTACTTGACCAAAGGGACATGAACAAAATAACTGTGGACAGATGCCATTGTTTGTTTTTGAGAAACAAACAATCAGACTTTATTTTCACATAGGTATTTTCTTCCTCAGCTGCATGATTAAAGATGGCATTGTTTTGTTAGTGCAATTGCCATATTTTCTTTACCTTGAACTAATGGGATATTTACTTTTGGCTCATGAAATCACATAGGAGAGACAGAAAAAGCATTCTCACTGATCAGTGACTGGGCACTCCAACTGTACCTCTACAATGACAGAGAAAGCTAAAACAGGGAAATAAAAAGTTATGTGACCTTTCTAGTGACAATGGCAGAGTTTTTTCCATTGCAAATCCTTTGCTTAAAGCATAAATATTGATCACACTCCACACATGTAACTGAAATACCTAAGAGCTCACTGAAGTGCATGTGCAGAATAAATCAAATCTGGCAATCACCCTAGCCCAACCCACAAGAACTGCCCAGATTTTTCTTCCATGTCTTAGAAAAAAAAAGACCTCTCACTTTCCCCTTTTGCATCTGTCCTCTTCCACCTCAGCTGGCAGAACTACTCCATGAACCTTCCCAGACCATAATAACTTCATTAATTTCCTTACTGCATCTACATCTTCCACTTGGATTTTATCCATGTAAGATACAAGTATCTAGGTGTGTCTGAGCTGAGCTTCCAGAGATTGCTTGGTATAGCAGAAGATCCATGTCCTTTACCTATAGATACTATTCAGAGAGACATTATCATATATGAGTAACAGCCTTTATAATATTGTCAAGAAAAATGCACAACTCACTCTTCTAATAGCATCAACTGGCCATGGTAAATGGTTTCTGTAATGACTGCCTGCTCTGCAGTGAGAACATGATACACATAAAGTACCCTTCTTCATCTATTGATATGAAGAATTCGGATAACTGTACCCATGTCAACCAAGGGACTGGTAGAGGCCCAAGGACACAGGCAAGCAATGGCAAATAATTCAGGGTGGATTCTCAGTGGTCCAGTTCACAAAAGGATTCAAATGAAGCCAGCAACATTGGCCGTGAAAGACTTCTGTCCTTTCCTTAAAAAAATTGAAACCTAGCACTGGCCCTGTTTCTACTTGTGGATGCAAGTGCTTACAGACTTTATTTGGAGCAGAAAGAGGCTCCATCCACAGAAAGATTAACCCTGGAAAGTAAAATTTTCCATAGTCAGCTTATGTAGAGTGGCGTCCACCGACTTCAGGTCTAATCCCACACTAACCACTCTATCTCTCCTTATTTAGTGAAGATTAATATTTGAATTGTTTAATCACCCTAGTGTTTGACTGGTGGGCAGCCACCCCATGGCAATCAGGTACTCTTAGCTTGATTTTCCACTCTACCCCCTCCTTCCTTTCATGGTTACCATGGCAACTCTGGCGCATGGCAATTGGAGACTTCCCATTTCTCCCTCCTCCTTCCTCTTCCCCTCTAATTGCCATGGCATTTCCCACTAGCAGGCAATGGGTCCTGACCTATCCTACAGATCCATATTTCCCTGAGCTCCTCCCCACCAAACCTTGACCTATCCCAACACCCCATAATACCTTAAGCTCTTGACTTCACCCAAGCTATAAAAACTGGGCTGCCATTTCTCCTGTGCAACTTCTCCAGCCCTGCTCTTTGGGACGGTGAACCTCCCCCAAGAGCGCCTCTCAATAAAGCTTGCTTTAAGCCTGTTTGCATTATTATTTGGCTCCAATTTGACCTTCCCATCTGCGTCGACCTAACACCTAGATTCAAAATAAATTCAACATGATGACTATTTATGTCAAGCCTTAACTTTGGACTTGGCAGATAAAAATTTATTATGACTGTGATGATTATTGTGATGAAAGGGAGATGGATATAAACCTGGTCTTTAACTCAGGTCATTTAAACATCCCATGTATATTGGGTAGGCCCCTCTCAAATGTTTACAATGGTTTTGTCCTCCAAAATGCAGGCGATTTAACAGCTTCAGCAACCTACTACTTGGCTTTAAGTGTATAGGCAAGGTGGACTGGGAAAAGCATGACCAGACAGCAATGACCAACACGATTGTCCTCATCAGTAGACTTTAATCAATATGCTTCTATTTCCTGATCATCAGTCAATGTGGACTCTATTAGAAACATAGCAAAAGTTCTATGTATAATTAGGGACAAGATGTACACAACACAGGACTCAGTCCAAGACTTGAAAAACACACTTAAGACTGAGTTCAGGACAAGAGTCCACAATAAGATAATCCAAGACTCATCATATTTCATGATAAAGGTCACATGTTTAATGACCATAACCGTATGGATATAATTCAATAAGACTGTAAGTGCAGGGGGTTTGCTTGCTCCAGCCCCAACTCCATCCCCTGCAAAATGCACTAGGTTGTGACATTATAGCAGCTGAGAGGGGACTAGGTAGTAGGAAATTTTCAGCTCCATTGCAGTCTTATGTGACTATTGCCTTATGTGTAACCATCACTTACTGAAGCACTATTATGTGGCACATGACCATGACAGCTAAATGATCATGTCACTTTGTGGACAGAATCATGGATGATGAAGGCTTTCTGTTGAGAGCTCATATGGAAATGAGCAAGAGGCTCTTGGGAACTAGAGGACAGGACATCCTTGGTACAATGTGTTACATGACATGGCTGAAGTGTGTTCATGCTTTCCTGTGCTGTGTCAGAAGTTAAGGCAGTGAGATAGGAGATATGATAGAATAGATCTCTAAATACAGAGCGAGTGGATGATACCACTTTCCCTGACTTCTTGTTAAAAAACAATTAAGAAGAGAGAAAGAGGACAAGTGTGGAATTTAAAACCAAATGGAAGTCAAACTTATGATCTGGAAAGACTCAGTCTGGCCACGTTTTAAGGAATGGAGAAGAGGGAGATCTGGATGTGTTAGATTATCAAGGCCATAGCCAGAGGAACTTGTGATGAGGTGACTGTTGTGGACAGAAGGTATCCAGAAGCTGTTCATCAGGATAATGCAAGAATGACCCAAAGGCTTTTCAAAGGATGTCACTCCATTGCAGAAACACAGTACTGGATGATGAGTGCAAGGCAGCATCATAGGTAACACACAGCACTTGCACGAATTCATGGTTCACTGAACCATGAATTTAACTGTAGTTTCTGTCTCACACAATCCGGTACTATTGTACTCACTCTCTCCTGGTGAGGTTCCAGTGTGTCCATGTACAGTGTGGAATTTGACAGTTGTCCCTAGAGAGGGAAGAGTCCCAAAACCTTGGTGGTGTCCATCTGGTGCTTACTCTGCTGGTCTACAGTATCCTAGAGTTGTGATGCAGGGAAGCCTCCATCTAGATTTTAAAGGATTGCCATACAGCTTTGGGCCATGCAGAGAATCACTATGAAGGGGAGAAGTGCAGAATGTCTCCATGGGAATAGTACCAGAACAATTGTGGTGTAAGACCCTGTCCAGGGAGTCTCAACAGGAAAAATCTGTAGAGGACATATAGAGGTGGTATTTCTGCTGTGAAACTAGCCCTGTAGATGCTTCATTATGAAAAATAAGCCATGAAGAACTGAGGAAACCAGCTCACTACATGAGGCTCCTGAGTCAGGTGAACAATGCTGAATATGGATGAGCCTGCCATTGATTCACATGCCTACTGCAGTGTGAATCAATAGAACATTGATGTTATTGTGTGACCAACTGAATTTCAGGATTTTACAAGACTTGCTATCCATCTCTTCTTTCACATCATCCATTTTGGAATTGGGGTGTCAACTAAATGCCAGGGGTGAAATATTCCTGCAGTTTCTACCATACTTGATTTAATATCAAGTTTGTACATTTTATTAAACTTAAGTTTTATAGTTGATACTTGAACAAGCTCCTTTGTGACTATTGCAATGGAGAAATTCATTGAACACCGAGAAAGGACATGAATTTTTGAAGTCCAATGTGGGATGCTATATTTTTAGTACATACAATCTTCAAAGCTCCTGTTTGTAACATAATCAACAAGGTGATATTCACAGGCATTTCCTATGCAGGATATCTGGCTTCTTAAATGGAATTAGTATTCCTGTAACAGGGTTATGAGAGGAAACAGACCTCTTGTGTGATCTTCTGCAATGTGAGGACTCAATGAGCTTCTCTTCTGCCATGTAGGTCACAAGGTGTAAGGTCTTTCAGTATAGCAACAAAGGTGTAAAAAGACCCCCTGCATCTGTGCGCCATGGAACCCTCACACACTTGTGTTCCAGCACACTTGCTCAGCAGTAATACATCAACCACATCCAGTGTCACCATCACCTTGGTGTCTAGTGACATCTGCCTCAGGGACACTACACATTACTTCTGTGGAGTATAGGAATTGAGAGCAGGGCAGTGTTGTGAACGGCCCAAGGCAGAGACCTGAGTGCAGGTTCCATATATCATGTATGTCTACGTGTCCTGGGAAGACTGGAATCTGGCAGATAGTCTACTATAATATTGTTTTTATCTTTGTTGTCTGAATAGGAGCATCTATTATCAGATATCTACAACTGCAAGCTAAATAACACCTCAATGTGTAATAGATAGAAACATAAAAAGTATGTCAACACCCAGGAACAGGCCAGTTGACAAAAGTTAATTAAGTGTTTCATCTATGGGAAAATTGCTGAGCATAAAAGACATAAATGACTGAGCCCCTCAAGCAAGGGGGATTTTGATAAACATTATTATGTAAACACACAAAACAATTAAAACTGTACATTGTAAATGATAGTTGTATAAGTTTTGAATAACGAAAAGTAATCTAGCACAACATAAAGAAGGTCGTGAGCTGTCTGGAGATAGAAAAAGAGGAGGGAAAGGTTGGACAGGGATTACAGAGGAACCCAAGGACAGACTTGGGAGTTGAATATAGGTTCCCCTCTTTGTGCTGATGGTGAACAATTTTCCATGATGGCAGCATCATCAAACATGCTCCCTATAAATATGCAGTTTATTACACTCTGTGCAGAAACACAGTAAGTTTGCTATAGAGAGACAACACATCTCAATGTATAAAATGTGACTTGAGAACAATGGCATGAGATGCCAGAGACTACAAGTCCTGCATCTGACTGAAACTTGGTTCTCTATATTCTTTTAAACCTAGAACGCAGGTATGACACACCTGTGATCATCACAGAAAGGGGGTTGTACACGCCTCACCAGGTGTGCTTCACTCTGATTTAAGGAGCAGTGTTGTTGGTGGTTGAAGTCATGAATTCCTGTACACACAGCACCATCCATTGTGATTATTTTATACTTCCACATGTTTGAAAGGAAGATAAATTAAATACTTATATGTTTTGGGTTCACAGAAAAAATTAAGACCTATTGTTCATAATGCTTATCAGTCACATAATGAGACTTCCTGTTTACTGTAGTTTTGTTTAATGTATATTGCACAAATGGGTTTCATTCTTCATTTACATACATGCATATAATGTGTGCATGCATGTATGAACAAACTCACCACGTCTATTCCTGTTACTGATCAGCTCTCTCTTATTTTTAAACAATTTTAAAACAGTTTAATTTTTCAATGTTACATTACTTTATCTTCATACATGTCTGCAAATTGCTTTGATCATATTCACCCCTGAAGTCTCTGTCCTTTCCCACTTCACCTCCACTGTTTCCCTGCTAAATATTTCCTTTTCTTTCTTTAATGCAGGCATTGTCAGAATCTCTACAAGGATGGTCAAATTTGCTCTGGGCATTCTGAATCTTCCACCAGAGCTTGCTATATAGCAGGAGGACATGCAAATAAGGCCTCCCTCTGCTCTTGAAAACCAGCACAGCCCTGACCCTGCAGCTCTGGAGAGGAGCCCAGCCCTGGATTCCCAGCTGACACAATTCAGTGATCAGCACTGAACACAGACCACTCACCATGGAGTTGGGGCTGAGCTGGATTTTCCTTGTTGCTATTTTTAAAGGTGATTTATAGAAAACAAGAAATCTTGAGTGTGTGAGTGGACATGAGTGGGAGGAAATTGTGACAGTTTCCTGATCATGATTCTTTGTGTTTGCAGGTGTCCAGTGTGAGGTGCAGCTGGTGGAGCCTGGGGGAGGCTTGGTGCAGCCTGGAGGGGCTCTGAAACTCTCATGTGCAGCTTCTGGATTCACCTTCAGTAGCTATGGCATGAGCTGGGTTCTCCAGGCTCCAGGAAAGGGGCTGGAGTTTATTGCAGCAATTAGCAGCTGTGGTGGTAGCACATACTACCCAGACTCTGTGAAGGGCCAATTCACCATCTCCAGAGAAAATAACAAGAACCAGCTGTATCTGCAAATGAACAGCCTGAGTGCTGAGGACACAGCCATGTATTACTATGCAAGAGGCACAGTGAGGAGACTTCAGTGTAAGCCCAGACATAAACCTCCTTGCAATTCTATTCGTGACCTGCAGGGGGCATTCTGCACACACTGATCTCAAAGTCAGTTTTGTGACAGGTGCTGCCATGACAAAAGGGTTTTATGACTCTAAACATAAATTGTTTTATTTTATTGTGATTTTCCAAATACATAAGATATATGCTCACATGAACAAAGTGTAGAATGTCACATTTAGGAGCAGAGTGACTCTGCCTTAGTCAGATCATGTAATGGCTCAGAGCTCCAGGTTAAGTCATTTTCCATGACAAAGCATTCTGTGGGATTCCCTTATTAGGACAGACATTAGGATTCAGGTTGTCAAAAATAGGATGTCCAGATTCTCTCAGTGATGCATAAAACCTAACAGGGTTCTCCCTTCCCATCTTTATGTGAGGAACTATGCACAATGGACTCATAACTGATCCATTTATATTATTTAATTCATTTTTCTTACTCAATAATAATCTTTTTTACATATCCTGTTTTCCTTTGTTCATCCAGAAGATGTTATTTGTGACATCTGTGATCTAAATCTCAGGAAAAACCCCACATAGCTGGAGTTCAGGTGTGTCTCAGGCTGTGTCTCCTGCAGGCTTCTGGGAAAGGCTGGAGGGATCTCTCAGTCCCCACAGCTCAGGGCCTTCCTGCTGTCCTCTGTGCAGGGACTCTTGGGAGAAATGAACATGGTCATTACTAACCTGTGAAAAAGACTGACAGACAAAATGTAATGTGAACACAGAGCTGACCTTGTTCTGTCCAGTCTTTCATGGATTCTCCTCCTTCCTCTGTAGCTTTGGGGTATCCTGCAGACTGACACTTCTGCACCTATACTAGAAGTCCAAACCAGCATACTGATGGCATCATGCAGCAGAAGGAGATCACACTGGGCTATGTTGTTAAGGTGATAAGTGTCCATCCCATAATCACAGCAGCTCGTGTGCAGAACAGAGAAAAGGAAGAGAGATCAGCAGTCACCCTGAGCAGAAGCACCCAGGAGATTTTGTCATCTGCCCTCTTGGAGTCCAAATGACAGGAGTTATGACCACTGCAGGTCGTCCTGTGTGTTTATAGGGAGAAAGTCACAGATATGCTCCATCCCACTCATAAAAGCTCTCACCTCTCATCCCTGCAGACACTGGAGTCTGGTCACTCTGAGCCTGTGTCCTTCCTCAATGTCAACAACCTGGTTTTTGTGCTGGCCTTGGCTTCCCTTATCATTATGCTTAATGCAATTTCCATAGTGCATCAAGTCCACTGTGACAGTTCCTTCTGGCTTCTCTGTGTTTTTAGGTGTCCTTTGTGAAATTCAGGATTGGGTGTGGGAAGGTGTGAGACATCACTCTTGGTCTGGGTTCTGATGTTGACTCCATCATCTGTTGAACCCCAGAGACTTCCATGAGCTCATCTAGGGACTAGGCTTACAGCCACTCATGTCTATCCAGAGTTCTTCCTTTTCTCTCCCCTTCTCTCAACAGTCCCAGCATCCCAGTGCACTCATCTTCTCAATCCTTCCTCTCTCTTTATAGGTTCTTACAGATTCTGCCCTGAGTCTCTGTCTGGAACTCTTCTCCCTCTTTCTAGTGTTACAGCTCAGGACCTCAGGTATCACATGTCTCAACTCTTGGTGCTCTCTGGAAGTCTCAATTATCTCTTTATTTTACAGATATACCCTCAGGGATCATGACCTCAGATTCTGTTTCTTTTCAAAATTGACTCCAATCCAATAATGAACCTGTAAAAAGTGTGCAATTCAACTTGTGTTCATTGTGATTGCACCTGGATTTCTACTTCATTTTCCTTTAGTTCCACCCCCCAGCTGACGTGCCTAGGTGACCTTCATTAAGTCTACACTTTCTTCAGAATTTCTCGCAGTAATCAGATGTTTTTCATTTTCTGTTCAATTTCATGTATCCCAAATCTATATGAATGTCACTCTGATTCTCTCTCCATATGACTTTTGTCCTCTTGTTATCCATGTCAGTTTTATTTCCTCTAATTCCTATATGCTTAAAACCACACAGTTCATTACCACATTATTTTCTTATTTTATTCTAGAGATCACCACATCTACCACCTCATAGGATTATTCTGTGGAATTTCTATGAAATTAGAGTGTTGCTGGGCACTTTGGGGGCCATGAAAACCAGAACTGAGACTCCTTCTTCTGTGTACCCCAGAAGAGGGTGCCTGGCTCTTCCCAAGCAGATCTAGTTCACTGTGTTCTCCCAGGTCCACTTCAGGTTTACACTCACTTGATAATTGTGAATGTGTGGGAAAGTGGCACAGAAGTGACTTGGGGCCCTGATATGTTACCTGTCACCTGGGGTGGGCTTTGCTTTTGTGTTTCACAGTTCTTCACTACCACAGCTGCAAGGGTTTCCACAGTGCTCTCAGTTTCCTGGTGTGCTGTCTTGATTGAAGGTGAATCACTTTCTACTTAGGAACAGAGGAGAGGTGTCTTTGGGAAGAGTTCCATCTGTTCCCACTGTGTCCCCACCAGACCTCTGTTCTCCCTCAGGCCCAGGTTGCTGTCTCAGAACTCTCAACCCTGCAGATTATATATTTCTGTCATGGTGATGAGCTGGTGAGTATTGCACAGTAGGGTAAAGATGCATGTACTTTTAATGGGGCAGAACCACTTAGGTTAGTGGAGAACTGGAATAAACTGTAAATCAGGAAACAAATCTTGGAATTGAACTGGAACCCTACTGATGTTATTTTTCTGATCATTTATGAATATAGCGTCTTTTGAACTCATAACTTTTGGGGTCCTTGGAATTTTTCTCCTATAAGATTATACTAGCTTGTGACATCTCATTGCCTCTGCCATGTTGGATCATTCCTAGTTACTGAGTCTTGCTCTAAGCATTGTCTGCACCCAGAGGAAGGTTGGTAATCTGCCTACTATTTTTTATCTCTGATGTTTTGAGAATAATATATCAGTAATCAGTGTTTCCTGCTTTCTTTGTTGCTTTATGAATGAGAGCAGTTGGGTTCTCACATGCTCACACTGATAAGCTCAGTTGTAGCTTCAATTGTTGAGTCAGAACCTGAGAACAATGCAAATACCTGTAAGCAACTCAAAATGTAAACGACTTGTATCTAATTAACTCATAAAATATCAGCCATCATAATCCACTAAATGCCTGAGCACAGTGGCATTCATGATTAATTACGCCCAGTGACAGGCCAAAGAGAAGTGCATAATGCATGGCTCAACTCCCTTTACTCCTAGAAAATGAATCCTGAGCTAGAGGACCAAAGGAGGTCGATATCAGGAACTGCTTGGCAACATGGCGGGTGAGGAGCACAGGAGGGAAAATGGACAGATGAGTAAATGCAAAATTTCAGAGTCATGGGTGTGCTCACTGTACTCCTTGTGGAAGGCTGCCCAGGTGTGCATGGCATCAGTGTTTAGGAAATGCTGAGACTACAGTGAGGATTATCTCATGTCAGTCCCCATGAGTACTCTGACTTCATACTCTTCATACCCTTATAAATATCCAGAGAACTTGAGGTTGTCACTGTTATTTCCTTATACCATGTGACTTCACAGTGCTCACCGCCCTTACCATGTGAGGATGTGGCCTCAAGATGTCATCTTGGAAAAGAGAAACCAGCCTTTCCAGATTCACCACCAGAACTTTGTCCTAGGACTTCCCAACCTCCAGAACTGTGAGCAGTAGATGTCTATGATTTTAAAATTACAAAGGTTGTTGTATTTTCTCACAGAAGGACAAACAGGCAAAGATATGTATGGTAGCAGGGTGGTAATGTTGCTTTAAGAAACACCTGGAGATATGTACTCAGCATTGGAGCTAAAAAATGGGCAGAGCGTGAAAGGGACTGGAGGTGTTTGCTAGACAAGCTGGGAGTGTTAAGAGTGGAACATTCCATGTAAGAATTTGGATAAAATATCAATCTTCTCAGATAGAGTCATGTGTCACTGAATGAGGAGGATATGTTGAGATAATTTTGTCATTGTGTGAGGGCATGGAGTGAGCTTACACAAACATAGGCTTCCTGCCTGCTGAAAACATAGGCAGTTGTCTTACCTGTGGTTCCTCCTCTACAGACCTGAACAGCAGTTGACTTACTTAAGTAAATCTAGAAGAAACTGAATTACAGTAGCAAATTTATGTACATTAAAAATAACATGCAAAATGTAGTGTGGCAATCATTTCTCACAAATGTAGTCCAAACTTCTGGGGTTGGGAAACCCCCATCTAACTCAATAGCAGGGCACATGGAGGATGCCTGTCATCCCAAGCTATGCTGGAGACTGAGTTCAAGAGTGTCATTAGGAGGCCAATCAGACATGATCCTTAAGTCCTAATCTGATAAAAAATAAGAAGCCTGTTGGCACATGTCTGTCACCTCAGTGAGATTGTTATGCCTGTAATAGAAGGATCACGATGTAGAAAAGCCTAGGAAAAAAGCAAATATAAGTGGAAGCATAGCTCAAACTATGAGTGCTTGCCTATAACGTGTAAAACTTGAATTGAAACGTTAGTACCATAGCCATCATCATTATCATCATCATCATCATAATTAAAAGGTAAAATTATCCACAACAATAGGCATAGAGTAGTTAAATTTTGTTTTTAGATCAAATTACTTGAGACCAGGAAACTTTACAACAAGAAAAAGTGTATTCCTCCCACATTTCTGTAGATGTAATGTATGGCACAGTGTTATGTTGCTCTGGTAAAAACCTCACAGAGATGGATAATTGATAGCAGGGCTGTGTGAACAAGAATGATGACACAGTGAGACAAGATGCAGGCAGTCAACCTGGTTCAGGTGATTCTTGCATATAAACTCACTCTCATGAGAACTAATACACACTCCACAAGAAATACTTCAATACATCCAAGACCAGCCCCCAGAACAGTGGAGTTCCATGTGGTCCATCCTTTAAAATACCCCAAATCCAAACAAGCACACTGAGAACATGACTACAGCACATGGCCCAGGGGTACAATCCACAGGCAAACATGGCAGGCACTTACTCCTGACTGGTGTTGGTCAGGTATTCAGTGAGTGGGGAGGTGAGGACACCTCAGTTCTCACTGTAGAATTCATGTGCACTTTACACTCAGTGCAATAACTTTATACAGTTTAATGTATTTCTTGAAAAATAAATTAATTTTCAAGTATTCTTTCAATATGTTAATTAATAAAGAAATCAACATTGACATGAGCCTGATTCTGCATTGTTCAGGACTACCAGAATCACTACCACCCACCTCCATGCCTCAGGTAGTGGAAAGTGGTCAGTGGCAACAACATACAAGCAACTTTCACCTCCTGGACAGCAGTTCCTTCACGGAGCCCCAAGACCAGCTCAGGCTTTAATTAAGGAGGTATCACACTTTCAGAGACGTGTCATGAATGTTTGCTTGGTGTGTTTCTTTTTAATCATGTAATGAATTAAAGCTCACATTGCAACATGATTGCTTCTGTGTACTAATGAAAACATGTCATCATTGGATGCCATTTGTGAAAGCAGTGAGAGGAGATCGTTAAGGTCTGCAAAAACACCTGTTAACCCCACCGTGAGTTTCCTTGTAGGACATTTGCTCATTTATCTACTGCAGTTTCATCTTCTCCTGACTTTCTTCACCTATCCCATTTTGTTCTCTTCCAACAACCCCTCATCAGTCAGTTCCTCAGGATCCTCCTGTAGTAGATACTACCTGTCATCTTTACATGCAGCACTTGCAGATATTGGAGAGCTCAACCACAGAGGAATAAATCAAGCTAAAGCGAACATAGTGCATTCTGAATGAGATTAAGAGATGCCATAAGATAAATACATGGACCTGCACCATGGACACACCACCAAGTAAGACAACATCCATCATAGTGTGCACGGACAGCAGGACATCAAGTCTAAGGAGATCATTCCAGAGCCCAAGGTTCTATGCTGTCCAGTGGAACTTTGGATTCATCTGACTTGTTATCATTTGCTTCCTTTGTATTATCACTTTTTAATGTGAATGTATATTCCATGCTCACATTATGGAAGGACTCAACACTTTTGATTTAACAAGTGCACTGGGGACAATCATACATGGAGTCTTACTCATATCCCAACAGATGATGGTTGGACTTAAACCTTCAAATTCATGCTTAAGTGAGCTAAAATTCTGGATCTATATAATAGAAATTAGTGTATTAATTTGTGAGAAAGGCAGTATTGGGGTAAATGATGGAAACCTATTATTTGAATGCATGACTACTCAACTTGCATTCAGTAGAAGTAAATCTAATATTTTTAAGAAATGAAGTCATTAGAGCTGAAGGGAATTTGTTACTTTGCAATTTTTCCCAGTTTCTTGTTATTGTTGTGCTTGTTGTTAGAGTAAGAACAACATTTTCTCAGATCACATTATCTGAATGGCAATTAGAAGCTTAGTTTGTAAAAACCATGAAGTGTGAAAAATTTAAACATAAATTAAGAGGTCAGTTAGAATAATATACTCTTCATAAACTGTGAAATTACTCCACCTAAAAAATCCATCAGTGGCCAATTCACACAAAATGATGATTTTTGAATGACGATTCTGAGTTAGCATGACAAATTAATAAAAATGCAAACTCTATGTAGTACTGATTGCAATTACAAAAAATGTAAACCAACTTAAAACTTCATAAACATGTCATGATCTCTCTGGGAAAGATGAAGTATGGGAGGATGAGTTACCTAGGAACCATAGGAAAGAATTTAGGATGGAATAAGTATGTATGGTCTTGAGTGTGATGCCAAATGCGTGTTGGTCCATAGTTACTGATTGAATAATCATAAATGTGCATTTCACTACCTGGATTCTTCTTAAGAGTTTTGCTACACATGAACAATATGTCATTAGAAAAAGAGGGACAAACAATGACACAGGAATAGGCAAAGACTCTATATAAACCATGGATCTTTGTGTTTTCTCTCTCTAAACACTAAAAGGCAGTAAAGTCACACCTGTTCTCACAACAGGAAGTGGTTCTGCAACATTCCCCAAGCAGGTCCACTCTGTTCTTGATGTAGACCAGAGGCCAAGGTTTCAGCACTGAGGAGTGCAAGGGCAGACACTTTCAAGACAGCAGATCTTGTTCACATAGTGCAGAGTGAATGTTTTTGTACTGTATCTTCTGTAAAAGGGAAGTAATATTAATGTATAAAAACACATTTTGTACATGAACAAGCATACCAGGCTATGAGGAGTTATAAATAGGAAAAAAGATCCATTCAATCCATGAGATATCACATTTTCTAGTATGCCACCAGGATCCTCACTGTTCTCCAGGACATTCCTATCTCTTCTAGGCTCTACCCTATCTGAGACTTTCAACAAGAGCTTCCTATATAGCTGGGGAACATGAAAATAGAGCCTCCCTCTGCTCATGAAAACCAAACCAGCCCTCATCCTACAGTTCTGAGAGAGGAGCCCAGCCCAGGATTCCTAGCTGATCTCATTTGGTGACCTGCACTGAACACAGTCCACACACCATGGAGTGGGAGCTGATCTGAGAGTTCCTTGTGGCTATTTTAAAAGGTGATTTATGGAGAACAAGAGATGCTGAGTGCATGAGTGGACAAGAGTGGGAGAAAAAGTGTGTATGTGTGGCAGTTTCCTGACCAGGATTCTTGTATTTGCAGGTGTCCAGTGTGCAGTGCACTGATTGAGCCTTAGTGTAGCCTGGGGTTCCCTGAGACTCTCCTACACAGCCCCTGGGCTGACTTACAGGTTCTAGGGACTGGACTAGAATGGGTCTCAACTAATAGTCATAAAACTAATTTCATGTTCCATGCAGTCTCCTTGAAAGGGAGATTCTCATCTCCAGAGATGATTTTAAGAGCTTTACTTTCCTGCAAATGAGCAGCATGAGAGCCGAGGATACAGCCATGTACTACTATGCAAGATGCACAATGATGGGAATGCAGTGTCAGCCAAGACTCAAATCATCCTGCAGTGATGATCATCACCAGCAGGTCCAAGATCTGTCCAAGTGCAAGTGCAAAGGGAGTTTAAGTACTGGTTTCCTGTCAGTCTAATTTTTTCTCTATGTAGGTCAGTTACCCTTTGGAGATTCTGGTTTCCTGTTTCTGTGCTTAACCACTAGTGTCTCTGAATTAGAAAAGTTTGTTTTCACAAGATGATCTCCAGATCTTCATTTTAATGGAAATAAGCCAGACTCAGAAATACAAGGATGACATGTTTTCTCTCATAAGTGTAATCTATGTGTAAAATATGACATTGGAGTAGATGGGAGTCTAGTAGAAAAGAAGGTGTCAGGAGGCAGAAATAGGAGAGGGGAATGAGGTGATTCATTATCAGTATGAGCAAAGTTTATAGTATTCATACATGAAAACATTGAAAAGAAACCCATTATTATTTCATTGCATAATTGCATGATATTATGCAGCAGTAATAACTTTTATAGGAAGACACATTCTTCCCTCTATATATGCCCACATGTAATTTTGGTGGAAGAAATGGCTCTGCACTGGTCCTCAGGACCAGATACTCAAGATACTAGAATGATCCTACTGAGCCTGTTTGATCAGAAAAGAGAGTTCATGGAGTTCTCTTGATTTGGTCTCCATGACTAAGACAGTTTGGAAGATTCGGACAGGATCTAGGACTGAGGAAACCCAGGCTCAGTTAACCATAAGGAGGAATGGATTTAAATCCAGCAAACTGGGAATGATTTGATGTTCTTTTTTAAACAAATCCTCACAATTCTTCTTAGGTTTATTTCTCAGTTCTGTCTGGTGTCCATCTTCTAATAAGGAGCAAGTTAATCTCCAATCTCAATAACAGAGATGAAGTCATTTACCTGGACATCAGTTGTGGATTCTGCCTGCCACAGGGAATGCTTCTGACAACAAAATCTTCAGACTCACTATGGGCCAAGGACCTTAAACTGTCCTTTATATTTCAAAATATTTAGAAAAATAAACATAAGCTACCAAGAGTAACATGCCTTTTTCAGATCAGAGTGTGAAGATATCACTGATATTATTATGACCTGACTGTCACAGAATCATCTCCATCACTTGTCTCCTTCAAAGACAGGCTAAGGGACACCCATGTCTTCTGTTACTACTCAATTGAGAATCCAGACACAAAACTCCATGCAATGTCACTCAGGACAAGCAGGGGACGATTAGGACCAAGTTTGTTCAGGATTGGCCCAGAAGAAGATGCAGAAAAAGGCACCCATTTTCT